TGAAAGTCTCCAAAGAGTGAGAATCATATAAGCATATCAATTGCTTCTAATGGGGAAAGAATAAAAAAGCTTAAAAGAAATGCACTGATACTGAGGGGCCTATCAAAACTCAAGGACAAAGCACACGATATGATAATTATCAAACCTTCAAGCAACAGAAAAGTCAAGCCGGTCTTATTGGTTTCGACTTGGTTATTCGCTGGCACCAGAGTAAGTCAAATCTAAAATGACACAGCAGTGCTTTACTCTGAAATCTTTTGTTTTACATGTCATTAAACACCACATTAACTCCCCTTTAATGGGGGGATTTGTAAGCGCTGATTTCGTTTGCACATTTAGTGCACTAAAACCACCTAACATGTTCTATTTTCATACAAACACTTCTGTTCATGTACCTCGTCTAGGTCCTGAACGTGCTCTTTATGCAGAGATAAGATCAAGCCAAACATTCATAATAGACTTGCCACTAAATTTATTAGTCTTTTATGCTACTACGAGGCTGGAATGAGTCACAGAAACCGCCGTGCACTACAAGAACCACCAACCCCCCCACCAACCCCCACTCTTTGCTCCTACATTTTCTAAAGTTACCCAGCGAGCGCTGGTGTAGCTGCTTACAGTATAGTTCCCCGGTAGAAAGAAAGGTCCTGATTAGTCAGACGGGCTAATCCCATTCAGATAAATCATGTATCTGAGCAAATGTGCCGATAACATTAGGCAGCAAACCGGCTGAATTAAACATCACATACTTCCCTCACCAATTCATGTCCACATCCAACTCTAACATATAGGCACAACACAGATTCAACTCATAGACGGAGAGGGGGGGGGGGAAATAAGGAGAGCTAGGCAGTGTATTGCTGGATGAATAAAAAATGAAAGTGTAGTGCTTCAGTAAATTCGCTCTCACCATCCGGTGAGGAGGGTGGGGGGGTGACGGTGGAGTAGAGGTTTGTTTGAAAACTGAACCAGCGCTGTATTCCCACATCCACCCGTATCCAGCGAGGGACTCTTTAAAAATTCATTAATTTACAGCAAAAATAGATTAAAGCACCCAGCTGAGCAAAACTCAAAATTTGGCTCCTGAATAACATTAATGATAAAACATCTTCCTCCAGCCCGGGGGGGGGGGGGGGTGGCCTGAAGAAAGAGTACTGGCTTCTTTCACCTTACTGCACCTTGAGAATAATTTATTTTCCATCATTACTAAAATAATGCATTTCTAATTGTCATTTTTAATTATGCTTTTCTTCAGTTGGGAAGAAGAAGAAAAAAAATAAATAAATAAATAAATAAAAGAGCCGAGCAAAAACCTGCATAAACTAATTAAAATCCAACCAAGGATCTGCCATTCCCATGATGCCATGCCAATGTCATTCTATTCACCATTTGATATCTCAGCTGCAGAGACTCAATGACAGCAGCTCCAGGCCCCCAAAAAACACCTAGAACTGCAGTTACAGTAATTGCTCTGGCCAGCGCTAAATGAGGTTCACTTAAGTGCAATTATCCCCCTCTGATCTATCACATAAAGAGACTTCTTTAACATGGAGAAGTGGGCTCACACAATGTGACTGCAAACAAGATTCAAATTGGAATCAGGGAGGCATTTCCAGCAGATGAATGGCTTCATAGCTCATCTGCATTCTAGTGATGCACGGCGCCGCTAATGAAGACTGAGCCGGTCCCTTCTCACCAACACGGCTTCCATGAGAGCAGAACTTCACATACCGGATGTATAAGCGGAGTATGGGGAGATTGTCCAGTCCATTTGGCCTGAGCCCGCATTAGAGGACAACCTAGCCTCCACGCAGAGCTAACAGCTGTTTAAAAAGGAAAAGGAAATTGTGTTTTTTTGCCCAATCCAAAAGGTGAAAATACACTTCATTTACATTTCAGAGCAGAGAGGAAGTCAGACAAGCCCACTTTGGGTTGAAACATAAAGTAATCGTAAAAATGCAAAAAAAAAAAAAAAAAGAGGCCTTGGACCAACAGCATCAGCATTACACCACGCCAAAAAAATATACATCAGACGTCCTGGTGAATAAATTGCCATCTGCCAATCGCATAACACAATAGGTTTTGGGCCTGAGGGGTAAGATGTGGCCGTCTAACAGGGGTTTCTACAGAGAGTACCTGTTGGGTGAAGTCCAACAACACAGGGTGGTGGGGAGGGGGGGCTGTGATGGCCATTCATGTTGCCACAGGCTCAACTACCACCAGGAGTCTGATAACTGCATCTCACGGATGGCCATTTGAATAATCACTTTAACAAGGGGAGGAATTAAAAAGCCTCTCAGTGAGATGGGGCTAGGCACAGGGCCACACACTGAATTCAAAATGAGGCGCTTGCATTTAAAAAGTAGAAACCTGTTGTAAAGTCTACTGTACGGGCTTGCAGACCCACCCTTGACATCCATCAAAATGAGCTCCATATCATGTCACAATTCCATTTAATGTATTAAATTATATACTATCGCTTTACGGATGAAGACAAAGTGATTTTTCCTCAGAGATGACAGACGAAAACGTGTTACTGCCACCATTCACGCACACAACAACAGGAAGACCTTGGAGAAGTAGGTGTCGTGTTTTTAAACCATTAGGCAACAGACTTCTCAAACACCACTGCAGGCTAACCCCACCATTAAAGGGAAGCTGTAACACATCATCCAATTCACACTTTTAAATGGTTACTGTGAGAATAAACAGATGTGTAATCTTCTCTATACTTTCTTCACAACTGCTCAATCCATTCATCAACACCTCGAGGTTGTTTAAAAAAATTTTTTTTAAAAAAGAAGTCATAAAAAGTTACTAACTCCTCAATTTGATTTGATGTGAAATAGGAAATAACTACTAAAAAGGCTTGTAAATCAGCCAAAACATGCATTAACATGAGCATTTTCATCTGAGCACACACATCATCTCCAGTCGTGAACAAAACTGATTAACTATAAACTAACAGAATTTAATAGATGTTGTAGTAGAGCTCCGAAGGGACAAAATCTGCAATGTGTGTGCCGTGATTCATATCTCTGCATGCAATCTTTAAAAAAAGCATGCAATGGCTGCACTCTAGGCCTATTCTTTAACAGCCAGCTAGCAAACAACAGCAAAATGCCACTTCCGCTGCCTGTGCCCATTGTTCCACTGCTGCGTTTCACATAGTTGTTTTAATTGACATAAGTTATTGCTTATAAAAACAACTCTTTATTTAAAAAAAAAAAAAGCTGAATTTCATGAATGGCAGAGGATTTAAGTATTTCCCATGACCGAGTGAGGAGTCTGTCAGTGACCGAGCCTAAGGACACTGCGATAAATAAACGCCAATTAACATAAAGTGCACATGGAGCCTTTCAGAGAGCAAGAGAAAGTACAGCAGCGGGACAACTCACAGGATGTGACAGAGCGACTGACAACCGTGCTGTCTCATTTCTAGACACTGTGACACATGCAGCTACTCCGGCTCTGCTTACCTGGATGGAGTGACATCCAAACTCAAAGCATGTGTAATTCTGAAGCTGGATCCAGACGGCTCGCTGTAGGCCTGCTATTTAAAGGATGGGTGATGAAGAAGCAAACTAGGTCTGACCTTTGATTGTGGGTGCTGACTAACACTTTGGGCATTTTGTTAGTCGAAGCAGAAGGTCTGGCAGGGTTAGGGATATTCTGGGGGAATTTATAATGTTTTCTTTTAGTCATAAATTCAACCTATTTATGCTGGCTGTATGACAAAATAAACTTGGGAGAATGAAAGTATATATAAAAAAAAAAAAATTAAAAAAAAAAAAAAAAAAAAAAAAAAAAAGGGGAGCAGCTATTCATTTGCACCCCATTGCATCTCGGTCATTAAAATAACAACGTGACATCATTGATACAACTTGCACAAGTTGACAGCGGGGCAAATTCAGAGTTCAGTCATCCATCCTCTAATAAAGGCCGTCGGGGTAAAGCAAGGGCACCGTTTTGTATACAGCTGCACGCAAATGCCACAGCTGTTTTGTTTAAAGTCGTAGCATTAACTAATCAGTGTCTGCCTCGTGCGATCACACACACACAGACTGGTTAAAACATCAAAGCAGAGAGAAGCATGCCCTGAGAAATGTCGTGCACACGGGTCCAAATATTTAACTGCAACACCGTCTGTGCCATCTCAGGGCAATCCACAAGGGTATACCACCACCACCACCCCACCAGAGGCACAGACACGGTCCAGAGATTACATTCAGTCGCACAAAATTCAGCAGAAACATGCTTTTGCACTTGTTGATTGTCCGGCCACATGACAAACCTGCGCCTCTCTCATAAAGACAGACTAGTTTTTACATACGAGGATCGTTATTTTTCAAGAGGAGTTTAACCAGCCGCCTGAGAAACAGACGATTGACAGACGAGAAAACACACTGCAACAGCTGTGAGTCAAATACCATCAGAGCATGCAGGAAAGCCAAGCGACACTGGCTTCACACACACACACACACACACACACACACACACACACACACACACACATTTATTTAATGCAGGACACACAACGTCTCACATACCAAACAGCTAGCTAACGATAGCTGTTGAAGGGCTGGGATAGGTCATTATAACCACCTAATGCGAGTATTCCTCGCATTAGGTGGTTATAACAAACACACACACACACACACACACACACACACACACACACACACACACACACACACACACACACACACACTCTCTCTCCTGGCTCAGGAGAGAGCGCCGACAACGCTCAGCTAAAGTTAGCTGGCTACCAAAACTGGCTAGCTAGCTGTCAAAGTTGCCCTGTCAGTTGTCACCGGTTGCACGGCGGTGCTAGCAGGCTAACGAAAGAGATGTCAACTTGGGAGAGTTACAGCAACACGGCTGTGGTGTTCTAAACACTGACCACAGGGACACACACTGACTGGCTCCATGAGGAAAACGGTGTCCCCCCGCACGCCCCGCCACAGCGAGCGGAGAACCGTGTGCCAAGGCCTGCTCACCGGGCTCAATCCACAGAACTTCAGTGCGGCTCACTTCCCCGTTAAAGTCGTCCATTTCGTGGGCCTTAGTTCAACTTCCATGCCCGTGTAGCTCACTTACTCTGGGTGAACGCTGCTGTGACGGTGGCTCTCTGTAATCCTGACGGTAGTTTGAGCTGCCCCCCTCCCCTTCCTTCCACCTCCTCTTCTTCTTCTTCTTCTTGAGCTAGCGGGGGCTCCCCCGGAGTGTCCCGTGCTCTTCACGTTATCGTCCTGTGCAAAGAAGCTTTGTAGCCGTAGCTTCGCCGGTGTGTGCCCGCGGTGCCGTGGCGTCCCTCTTCAGCTTCTCTCCGCCTTCTCCGGTTCGCCTTTCTCTCGGCGGCCGAGCCAACATCCGGGACTCTCCCCCGTTTGGGTTAGGTGCCCGGAACTACTTTCACATACGACGACGCACATGAAGGTTTCTGTCTCTGTCTCTCTCTCTCTCTCTCTCTCTTTCTCTTTTTCTCTCTCACCACCCTGCCGCCACAGAAACTAGCGCGCGGTCAAACGCACAACAGCAGCGGGTGAGCCCACACACGAGCTTGTCTATCTATCAATCAGTTGATCAACAAATCAGCTTTATTTGCGGCGCATTGCCGGTGAATACAACCCAAAGTGCCTCATGGCGTTAGATTATTGCCTATTAAATGAAGAAGTGAAAACACACAAGTAATGAGACAGGATCGCAGAATGAAAGCAGAAAAAGTAGAAGATAGTCCACGTGGGCACCACTGTCTGATAATTCAACTTTATTTCCAGACACATGAGTCCATATAGTCGCCTTTTATAAAAAAAAGTTGTAATTTATGGCTTCATTACAGGGTAATCAATTTACATGTTTCAGTTAGAAGTCGATAATTGGAAAAACGTTTGGGTTGCTGGGTTGTGAAAAATATCTCTTTATCCTTTTTATTTGGTAATATTGCACAATATGCCTAATCATATTACATGATGGTAATCTATTAATACATAGAATTAGGCTTTAATAAGCCTAATTTAAGTCTGCAGTTATGCATGTTAATAGTTTGTTAATAAATTGATTTGGGTCCAGATTTGCTGCCGGTTTTTCCAGAAGTGGAAGTCCTCCATTATGGGTCACTACATGATTTGCTGGAGGATAAACACCTACAGCAGAATATTTAACAAGATGGCAACCTGAAAGTTGTTGTTATTATAAATGGATGATAACTGATCTAGCATTATAATAATTTAAGTTATTAATCAGTAATGCCTTAAGTTATAACTTATAAACATTTTTATAAAGATTAATCTTAAAGTAGTGCTAATACATGGAAGCTGATAAAAACATATCAAAGATTCAATACAAGATTAAAATATACATATTGTAGGAGTTGCATATGATGAAATAAAATGATTGGTAATAAAACTTGGACATGGACAACATAGGCCTTGATAGCCCTACAGGGCAATATCTAATAATATCTGCCCCCTATTTAATTCCTTATAAGCCTCGAACTCTAATTTTACTGTTTTTGATTCCACTAACAGAATATACTACAAACAAGATTATTGCACCATTCATTTGACGACTACTGCTGAAAAAATAAATACCAGTCTTTCTCTAAACATAATCATTTATTGTTTCAATTTCAGTATGTCCTCGAGTTCCATACTAGGCTAAATGCTGTTTCATATTCTACTGGTGAAATACTAAATTCATTCATTCATTCTTTTTTCTTGGCCCAAAAATCTTTTAAAAGAAAATGAGTTTAAAATAACTTTAAAAATCCCAGCATGTCTCACTCTCCATTGTACAGTGTAAACTGCACTTGAAGTTAAATTTCCAGGAAAAAACAAAACAAGGACATGACCTGAATGTCCTCAATGGGAACTGCAGCCCTGGTCCTCAGCAGCCCTGTGAGCTCACACTGACCTCGTCTCAAATTACTCTCCGTACTTCAGAGCTAAACGTTTGTATGTGGTAGATTTGAGTTATTGCATCATGTTTTATAGATACTATTTGTTGTATGTATTGTTATGACAAAGTGTTGAAACATGTTACTTTTGAGGCCTTAAAATATTACTTTATGGTTTCACTAAATAGGTCCTTTCAGTCTCACAGTTCTCCAGCTGAAGGCATCAGACAAATGTCATCAGTGGAAAACAATCGGTCTGAAAAAAGTCCCATATGAGACCTACACAGATCTTTGTTGTGTGTTTGTCTTTTTACAAGTTGATTATAAACTAAATATTGTATCTATATATTTTGCTCTTGGGCTATTTGATTTAAATTGTTCATCTTATGTGATAGTTGCTATTTTATATTGTATTGACTTTGGACTTTTCCAATTTCATATATCCTGACTGAGTGTCTCTTGAACTGAGACACAGCACTCCAGGTATGGGTTTTTAAAACACCTGAACCAACGCTTACATTTTCTATTTAACTGGTGGTGTCTCAGTAAAATGACCATTTCGTTTTTATAAGCGTGAACAAACATAAACACGAAATGTGCGGAAACCGATTAGCTTAATCAACACAATCAAACGTGCATCAAGGACATGCAGCCATGGTGAAATGTTGTGGACGTCTGTTCAGCGGGGCAACAGCGCCTCCTGTGGGTCGGTCAGTGGCACTGCTGTTAATACATAATCTGCCCAGTAAATGATTAATCATTTTAAAACAAAACGTTTCTCTGCCTTTCTGTTCAAAGTGCGGCTTTAGATTGAAACACATAATTAGAGTTTTTGGACACAACACCTTTTCATAACGCTGCTTATCTGACACTACAGGTAAAACCGTACATTCAGTCGGAAAGGTTTGCAATAAACCTCTGTGCAGATGTTTTCACACCAGTCTTTAATTCCCCATTTAGCAAAGCAACATTTTTCCTGGGAACATGTAGTCCATCATGGCGGTCTCTGCAGGGAGACATCACGTTATCGAGTCATATCCAAACTAAAAATATATGATAAATTAAAACATAACAAAAAGGTCAAGAGCAAGATGTAAAATGTGTAGTAAATATGTAACTGTGACGAATAACAAGCTCGTCTGGCCTTTATGTATATCAAAAGGTTGTACAACAAGAATAAAGAATAAACTACAGGAATAAACTACAGCACGTCCTACTTGGTATTTCAAAGTAATTCTTGTACCTGCAATTTCACATACAAATCTCGGGGAGATTCAAATGGATAGGCTAGAATTGTTGATGATTTAGATTTTATGATTGCAAAAGAATGTAGCCTACAATAATCAATTATCCATCGTACCTCTGGATCCAACCAGCATTTTTGAGGAAGTGAGAACTTTTAAGACTATTCACAAAAAGGAGACTAAAGAGAAGATGAGCACCTAATACTCCAGATCAACGTCAAACACTTCAATGTGTCAGTGGGGACAGTCCAGTTCAAAAGATCCCCTTTCAGAGGAACTTCCCCTCGGCCCTCTGGGTGTCTGTGTGCGCCACTGGTGATGCTAATGACACATTATATGAAAGTGAAAAACAATAATTGACGCACGACATTATTTGACTTGACTCATAAATACCAGTGATGGCGGTAGCGGTAGTACCGCCTGTGGCCACCGGGGGCGCTGACGAGTTTCTTCTGTATTTATAAAGCCCGAAGAATTCTGCTCGGCGGTTTCAGGAAGTGCAGAAGTTGTTGTGAAGAAGCAGACTGAGAAACAACCTCAGAATACAAAGTAGGACATTTCACAGTGATATCTTTAACTGTTGTGTTGAAACAAGCGTTGTTGTTTTACTGTATTCAGGGTGTTGTCACGGTGGTTAATGATCGTCTAATAGCAGGTAACGTTAACGTTAAATCTATTTACACTCGTACCTGTAATTACCAAGAGTTACATTTTAGCTGTTCATAACAGCGTTTCACTTTGTCGAAATTCTATTGTCACTAGTCAGAATGGTAAATAAAGATATCCACAATTACGAGAAGAAATAGTGTTTTTTACAGATCTGTGTAACTTTGATTGGACTAGTTCAACTAAACGTATCTTTAAATCCTTTAGAAGTATAGGTGGTCGTTTAAATATTGAATAGCTGGACTGGATATATATTGCAAATATTTGGAATTGAATTCTTCTAATCAAGAAGAACATTTCAGATATCCACAGTCATTATCCACGTCACGTTTACCATACATGTGTATTGGGCTTTCGATTGAATTGATTGTGCAGAAAGCCACAAATGCATTTTTTTTTAAATCTAGTGTAAACATTCTGGATATCTGCGATTGAATTTCTCGGAAAAAAAAACCCAGCCCATTTCAGACCCACTAAAGACGGTATACAACAGGCTGGTGACGCAGAGGTCGCAAAGTGGCTGATGGTATGCAACCGATACCATCCATGCAGATGTACGCTACTCCCTGGAGATGTATGCGACTCCTCTAACGGCATTTTAAATCCCATCACTACTCTGCTACACTGACTGTGTTCCAATACTCATACTAACATACTGTTTAGTATGCCACAATACATAGTATATCAAATGCAGTATGTACTAAATACCAGGATGTCCTGCATCACTTTGATTCTCACAGTAATCAAGCCAGCATGCTTTTCTGGCTATTCTGACCGACAATCCTCTGCGAAGCAGACATGTGAGCAAGAGTGTCAAGGTGCAATTATGACAAAGTAGTACGTCCCAATAGTACTTACTTTGACTGGGTGGCAGCAGTATGTGCTAAAAGTAAAAAGATAAAGTTATTTCCTCCTGATGTTCTCTCTCTGTCTCTCTCTCGCTCTCATTAGGTGATGGCTAAACCCAGAATATCTTCCATTGACGGAAAGCTAGCTGAAGAATTTGCCGTTCCCTCCCACGTCGAGGAGGTCAAAGAGAAGATGGCTGCTTTCGCCAGGCATCATGTGGCAGCAGGTCGCAGGGTGGTCCTCATCACATCAGGGGGCACCAAAGTTCCCCTCGAGTCCCGCACTGTTCGTTTCCTCGATAACTTCAGCAGCGGCAGACGAGGAGCCTCCTCGGCAGAGTATTTCATGGACTCCGGCTACGCCGTCATCTTCCTACACAGGCATCGCTCCCTTTACCCCTACGCGCGGATGTTCTCAACCATAAACATGCTGGATGCCCTGAAGTTCAGTGGAGGAGGAGGAGGAGCATCATCCAGTAACTCTGGTGAAGTGGTGGTCAACCAGCAGGTGCTTCCCAACATTGCCAAAGCGCTGAAGCGATACCAGGAAGTGACAGAAGGCGAACTCCTTCTGCCCATAGAGTTCAGCACTCTGTCCGAGTATCTGCATCTGCTCAAAGCAGCAGCACAGGCACTCGGCACAATAGGTACAGAATAACAACTTCCAGGTTGTGGCTCTCATCCTGCATATTGTTTATAACTCCGTATTCTGCACTCAGGATCCGAGGCCATGTTTTACTTGGCTGCAGCTGTGTCTGATTTCTATATCCCAGCATCAGAGATGCCTGAACACAAAATCCAGTCTTCCAATGGACCACTTCAAGTGAGTGAGAAAATAAAAGTTCGAGCAAATGTAAATCGTTTTTTTAGCCTCGCAAGCAGCAGGGCTCAAAATCGGTCACTGCGTTTAGCTGTAGTACAGCCTTTAGCTGTAGACTTCTTAACCTTGTAATTAATGAAAATAAACTTTTTTTTCTCTTCTCCCCTTCAGCTCAGCCTGAACATGGTCCCTAAGATACTGTCTCCGCTGGTGAAGGACTGGGCACCTCAAGCTTTTGTCATATCCTTTAAGCTGGAGACGGACGCGGCCATCCTGCTGGACAAGGCCCGGCGGGCTCTGGACACCTACAGGCACCAGGCGGTAGTGGCCAACGTGCTGGACTCCAGACGGGGTTATGTGGTGGTGGTGACCCCCGAAACTCAGGCTGAGCTGATCATCACAGAGGAGGATGTGAAGAACGACGTGGAGATAGAGGAGAGGATAGTGAGCAACCTGACATCGGCGCACAACAAGTTCATAACTCAATAAGGAGGTTGACAGAAGGCATCAACACTGCATGTTTGAGTCGATGACGCAGCTCTACGTTGTTGTTGGTGCTCTTACCAGATCCCGAGTTTGGCTTTGATTGCCTGTTCTGCTGTAAGGTTCCATAACTTAAGTAATAATTATAACTATTAACAGATGACGGTTTCCCGTGTCCTTTTAATGTGCTCTAAAAACAGACCGTGGTTATGATGGTGTCTCTGAACAGGTACAACATACAAGTTTGAAAGTATTAAATGTTTATTCATATGATGCAATGATCTAGAACAGATTTTTCAACAACAATTATTGACAGCTGAATAATTGAGTGACATGCTTTGCTACACACCTATAAGAAAGATTACAAGTACAGTCCATTGGTAATAATCCAATCCTGTGACTCTACTGGGCAGCAAAGTGTAGATTCTGGCACGGTTACTTAAATTTGACGCTCTTCTTGACACCAGCACGGATACCAGACAGCTCTCCGCTGTATCTCGTCTCCTCCCGACGAACATCTCGCACCTGGTGAATAAGAACGCAACGTGTTTGACACGGCCACATGTACTCTTGATTCAAACCGAGGAGCCGAGAGACAGTTCCCAGAAGCTTTAGAGGAAAACAAACCTGGCCCTTTCTGCGGATTTTGGCTCGTCTGAACTTCTCTCTGTGCTTGACTCTGGGATTACGATCAATCTTCTTCCTCTTGGGTGTGAGCCCCTTGTTCTTAGCCATCTGTGGAATAGGTAGAGGCATGTTATTAGAAAAACTGTTCAGAAATGACAGTTAAACATGTAAATGCAGTGAGGAGCACCGTGTAATTATATTGAGAAAAAAAAATCATGTGTAAGCTTGCTCTGATGTACTTGTAGCTTCTCAGGAGGTGCACTCATGACCCCAAAAAAATAAAGAAATATACATTTTACCCTCTTTCAGATTTATCCACATACAGAAAAGACCTGAGCTGCCGTAAAACTAAATTCTAAATCAAATCCTGTTCATATATAAAAACCTGTATTAGATAATAAATTCAGGTTTGTTAGTCTAGCATAAAAGTAAATCTTTGTACGAATAATCACTGGGATGATATATTCAGTTGTTGGCTAATTGTTATCAATCACCTGACCTGATGCTGTTGTGTTAATCTAGCTGAGAGCATCTGACTGTAAATACTAATCTATCATTGTGTAGGTGGTTGTAACTCTGTACCTGGTAAGTGATTCCTCTCTTAGCATCTGGATCCTCCTGCTGCTGCTGCTGCTGCTGCTGCTCGTCTTCTTTCTCCTCCATCCTGCAACACATTGAACATTCATCAGATCCCCAGTTGACTTTGTCCCAACTGCTATTTTGAAGACTCAAATCAGCCTTACACTTCAGCTTCTGGGTCTTTGCCCTTTCTCTTCAATTTCGACCGCTGCTCAATTTCTCTGTAGAAACGCAGAGCGGCTTCCTCGTCCAGGTCGGAGTCCTCCTCAACCTCAGGATTAGTTTCTCCAGAATCCTGCCAACGACGTGCACGCGTTACCATTTAAACTCAGTATTAAAACACCAGCAACCGATTCAAAGAGAGAATAAAAAGACAAATCTCACCGTTTCCTTCTTGCTGGCGACTCTGGTCTTCTTTTCCCCTGCTGGTCTGCTGGTGGTCTTGTCTTTGTCCTCACCAGCTAGCAGCCTGTGAAACTGAGGTGCAAGCCGAGCGTCTACTGAGCCGAGCTCATTGATGAGCTGCAGACAGGAATAGAAGAGTCCGTGAGACAGAGGGCTGCAGCCTAATGTGGTTGTGTACGTAGAGGACATATTCATGGAATCCCATGACACCGGCAGTGTGATCTCAAACAGTGACACACCAAAGGATGCTGTCCAAAATGTAAATATTTAAAGTTGTGTTGGCTTACATTTCTGTAGGTCAGCAGTCTTTCAATCACTGGATGGTTGTGAGCGGAGATCCGTTTTGCCTTCAGCACTAAGTAGAAACTGATGTTCGTGCAGTAACTACGGTAGGAAACAATCATTAGCCGCGCAACGAAGGACGACGATGTGATTCTGCAACATGTTATACGATTACAACTTACTTCAGATACAGTTGCTGTTTTGTCTTGAGGTAGTCGGCACCCTTTGGAAAACAGGACGACAATGATTCAGATTACAGCCATCTCAAGAACCTAATCACGGCCGTGGTAGATTTCAATGCGAATACTCATACAGCCCCGGGTTAAGCACGTTATGGAAACAATCATTTTATCATAAACAGGCTATAGATGGTGTGTCATAGCTGAAGCTCCAAGACTGTGGGTTCATCACGACTTTGTTCACATTGTAATCTGATACTTTGTTATTACAAAGATGACGAGCATAGCCTTCAGAATTCAGTCTGGGGACAAATTCACAGCTGGAAAAGTAACTCCATGCGCTCACCTTTCCTGGTGGGATCTTTCCCTCCTTGACCATCTGCATGAGAGGCTGCAGCTCATCCTTTAGTTCATTGAGCTGCGAACATCAAGTACACCCAAAAACAAGTGGCATCAATTACACGTTGGTCTGTGGCAAATTAAGTCGGAGCTTGTTTTTGCGGATGTGTTTTGGTCACATGCTTGTGTTTTACCTTTGCCTTGAAGTCCTGAATAAGTTCAAGCAGCTCTGGTGACTCCTTTTTTAAAAGTTTCATTTTTTCCTTCTGGGACATCTGCTTCAGATCTTTCACAATCCTCGCTTCTTTTTCCACAGTCTTGTTTTCATCCTTCTCCTCCACGGCAAATTCCTTAATTTAGACACATAAAACAACCGCAGTAAACAAATTAGAACCACGGCCTCTCGGTTGTACGCCTCATGTTGCAGTTTACGCCCATGTCAGTCCAAAATGTCATCATCTTATCCTATTAGACATCTATGTGAAATTGTCATAGTTAGCATATAAATTCTCGAGTTATGGCCCAAAATGTGTTTTGTGAGGTCACAGTTCATCCTTCAAATTTGAAGAAATTCGCTCAAGGCGTTCCTGAGAATCGACCAGACGTGATGACAGAAACACATTCTATCATCACATGTTGAAACTGCAGGTGTACAGGAGAGATCAACAAAGACAAAATACCTGAAACAAGTTTAAATCATAATCCTCCTCGCTCAGATTTGCAGCTAAACGTTTCTGGACATTTTTAGCCTCTTCTTCTTCCTCTTGCTCCTCGGCCTCCAACTCGTCTTGAGATCTCCCCTCTGTGATGACACAATTTACATTTAGCATTAGCGAAAGTTAGCCACACAGACAACAACATGATCATGAATGGCTCCAATGATAATATGGCTGAAGATAACAGATGCTTACTGGTGGTGACAAAGTCAGCGTCGTAGAACATCTTCTTCCTGTTGCCCCATGCCATTTCATTAGGAAGATCTGAGGAAGACGACAAAGTTAGATAAGATAGAATGACATTAAAACAAGTCCTGGGCGTAAACGGATGTTTTTATGTATACCGTCTTCTTTTTTGGCCTCTAGATCACTCTCCATGTCTGTCCCCTCATCCTCTTCTTCTTCCTCCTCCTCCTCCTCCTCCTCGTCTTCGTCATCCTCTGAATCATCCAGGGCCATCACCTCCTCCTGTAAAATTCAGCTGAGCTTGAGTTTTTCTTGAACTACATACATTTTCTAAAGGTAAATCCAAAATGAACACACAAGTTATCACCTCATCATCCAGTTCCTCCGGGTCGCTCTCCATTTGAACCCCGCTGGCGAGAAGTTTCTGTGGCAAAGAGAGCGCAGCAGCAAAAACAGTTAAAGGATAAAAACAGCAGCACCATGAACGTCCCACAGATCTACTTTTGAGGTAAACTTACTGCAATCTTCTCATCGTGAAACTCATCAATTTTGTCCTTTGTGTACAGGGAGGAGTTCTGAAAGGAAGAGAGGAGACGTGTTCATATCCGACTGTTGAAAGTAACGACAACGCCAAAGCAGAGTTCACATGGGCTTGTTTGATGTAGTAGGCAGATTGTGGTCACTATAAGAACGTAAGAGTATGAAAGAAAGGTTATAAAATGAGAGTATTATTATTCCCCAGTTTGAACTGTTTGGCCTTCGTTTCCACATTACTACTGAGACATACAACAGTCAAGATATTATTGATATTAAAGTATCGATGAAAGAAAATCAGTGTGTAAAAGAAGCAGCACATCACCGACGGTTATGAAAAACAAAGTGGTGGCCCTGAGGTACAGGTGGGATGATACTGTCGTCAGGTGAGGAAACAAATCTCCCCAAAAGGTAAGTGTGTAGTCAATACACATCACTCTAGCTTTTTAGATCAGGCCGCCACGATAATAAAACATTTATAACTTTTCATCGTTTACACTGCAGTGGGCTCTGACTTTGGGGAAATCACCTCCCTTACTTATAAAAACATATAGCAATATTGCTCAGCTCTAGATTGAGTTACATTTGTCTGCACTGTATCCACCGATATGAAAGGGGACACATCATTAAAAAATAAATCACTTTTTCAGTGCTTGTGCACATACATTTGGGTGTCTGGAGTGCCTACCAACCCACAAACTGTGAAATAACACAACCCGGTCAGTTCTTGTGGGCTGCAGAGATCGTTATTCAGCAAGCCACTCAGATAAGTCTCTGCTTCCTAAGTCACATGCATCTCACTAGAATATAATGCCCTCCAACTGAGTATTGTGCAGCTGGGCTTGAGAACTACATTTGCAAAAGGTGCACCATATTTGTGCCACAAGCCAATTACAGCCGACTGGGCATTTTCAGATATGGGGCTTCAAGAGACGGGCACTAAAACGGAGCATTTGTGAATACTGTTTTTTTTCTTCAGATAGACAATGTTAGCAATATTTATTTATCTTTTTTTACTTTAAGCATGTAAAGATGTTCTGGTAGAAACCCAAAATACGATCTTTTGATATATTATTACGAAGCATATTGTAACGTTCTCCTTAGGTATAAATTAATATACAGTATAATACAAACATATTTATTCTGCTCTGAGTGTGCTGAACTGTATTGAATGTTTTTTCCGTGAACCTTCCTCTTGTGGAACACGTTTATGTCATGCAACTCTGTCTAACTGGAATCATATTGTACATACAACAGACATACAACATGCTGTGATGGACCTTTCTATCAGCGTTATAAGCTTCAGGAGGGACAGATGTTCTGGTGGCTCCTCTTACCTCATCAGGGACAGATCTTTTAACTCCTCTTACCTCATCGGGGACAGATCTTTTAACTCCTCTTACCTCATCGGGGACAGATCTTTTAACTCCTCTTACCTTATCAGGGACAGGCATGCTCTTGTAGGCTTCAGGGTCATCTTCATCATACCGCTCGGTCTTTTTTGGCCTTGGTATCTTTATAGTCCTGAGCAATAAAATCAAAGAGAAAGAAGTCTACTTAATCTCAGCTCTGCAACATTCAAATGATGTTTACATTACTAGAATATCTGTGAAGTTCCTGTAGGACCTGATGTGGAATGTGAGGGCTAAAGACCTATCAGACTTCAACAACCGTTAACTAAAAGGTACCGTAACACCACATGAAATCGGATTAAACAGTGTAAAGAGACTAAGTTTAACCTTAGCATAACCATTACTTTAAACATACAAACAACTCCGATTTGGGCTAACTTTAGCCAAACTCACCTTTTTGTTCGAACCATGATGGCAATGAATTAAACGTGTTTGTTTTCACGTTTACGAACAAAACAGGACGTAGCAACGATTACCGAACTACACGGTTCAACGTCCGTGCTGATATCTGGAGACAAAGGCAAATGAAAACTGTAAATATCCAGTCGAGTAGAGCTGGATCTTCACATCTCCGCTTTGCTTTTGGTTACCATGTGCTTCCGTGATTTCTTCTTCTTCTGTACTTTAAATAGTGGTCTACACAGCGATGTGAAAGATGCATACCGCCCCCTACTGTACTGGAGCATTGCATTGATTATTTGTAGTGATTTACTTTGCTAAAAATCAAACAAATGTCAACCAAATAACAATGAAAAGTATTACACAGACAGAGGAAACTATCCCACACAAATTTGTTATTAAATAATATGACAAGACTATTTAATAAAGAACCGTAATGGTTAAAGGGTTTCATAAATTAGGAACCCTGATTTATCTGATTGAAAATGTACCATTGCTTGTGAGATGTTTGGAAATATTAAGACTGTTCCTATTATTTTGCATATTCTAAACTATTATATTATCCTACTTTACTCCCATTGATTGTTCCCTATCTCCAGCAAACCTTTAGTACTCTGGTACCTTCTCATTTTTTTAGTGGCCATTCAAACCCTGCTCATAACTTTAAAAAGAAATTGAAAACTCAGTTTAAAGATCTATTCTTTCTTTTTTTTTTATACACAATTTCACTTATTTAGTTGCTGCATTATATATTGTGTCTCTTTGTTAATTTGTTAATAGTTGTCTGTCCCAGAATTTCTCTACATTGTGATTTAAAAGAGTTTTCTCCACTGTGCCACAACTTAGCTTACTGCTGGGAAATAGCTGTAATGAATCATTTAGATGTATATATTTTGGCTTATAAAGTATAACTTTAAAGGCTGTGTATTGGTACCTGTTTTTTACTTTGTTACCATATCAGCATGCTCAGCATCTTCCTTTAAAACCATTTGTTACATTGATCTCATACCTTCTTTATCATGATATACTGTATAATGTTTGTTTTTCTGTGACAGCCATCCAGTGGTTAAACAGTTTATACTATTCATGGTGAGCAGCAATAACAGAACAATTATATTTATTTAAACATATTCAAAAGTAAACCTTGCATCAAACACACTGTGTATAGTAAAAAATAAAACCATCAAATTCAGTAAATCAACAGATAGAACTGGTAACTCCTGCATATGTAACAATGATTTTTATTCTCAAAGTCACAGCCTGTTTTGGGGCATAGTTTGAGTAATTAACACTGCAGAAGTTGTAATTATCAGCTAATGGCAGCTGCCTTTCCTCGGTGACATAAGATGTTACCACAGAACATATTGCTCATGTGTTTATTTCCTCGCTCCTCACTCCTGCTCTCCCTCCGTCTCTGCCAGTGACCTCCTCCAGAGTCCATAACTGGAGCTGCGAAGCCTCTCTCTGGGCAGAACGTTTTTTGGAGTTCTGTACAATGAAGGTTTCAAGTCATCGTTCCTCTTCTTCATCAGGGCAAGAGCTGGTGTCATATAATCCGGGTCAAAGCACTGCCAGGGAAACAGGAGATTGATGGCAACAAAAACATTAGAATTAGAAGTTCAATAAATTGAGTAAAGGATGAGATTTATTCTCAGTGACTGAAAGAGAAACATCTCTGTGAGATATTAATGTCAAAAACAATGACAGAAGAACACAACGTATCCACAAACTTACACTGGCCTTAAACCTTGGCACCGGAACTCTGGCATCATCTGGGTTGTGTATGCTCAGCTCCACCATGGACTGTCTCAGTTCTGATACAGCGGCCTTTGATCCTTTCCCGAGCAGTCCTGAAGTGCTCTGCCGAGACGGAATCTTCTTCATGAGGTCACTCAGAGAGCTGAAGCTCTCAGCCTGCGGCATCCTCAGGAGTATAGGCTTCTGTGAGGAGAGAAATGCATTTCAGTTTCTCCATTTTTTTTCACAAGTTTAACGAAAGTGTTTTGACAGAAAAGGGAGTTTCTTACTCTAGAAGATGGTGTGTTCTCCACTTCGGAGCTAATTTCTTTTACGCTGCTCTCGCCTTCCAAAACGGCCTCCGTCCTTGACCGTGTGAATATTTTGTGTGTTGGTTCTGTAGCTCTATGAAGTCTATCATCATCAAGTCTTGTTGTTTTTTGGTCATCTACATTGGTGCTCTTCTCAATGGAGAGTTGCCTGGAAATGGCTTCATTTTTTACATGTTCCACCCTGCAGGAGAAAAAAATGTTTTCCTTTAGATATGATATATCAATAATCATTTATTCAGTGTGTTTCCTTTATGTTTTGGGTGTTACCTTTTCATTCTTTCTTGAGTTGTCGTGTCTGTTGGCCAAGGCTGCATGTTGCTATGAAAATGATCAAGATCCCTGGGAAAATATCTGCGTTTAAAGTTAGGAGAAAAAGACATGAGCCAATACTCTTAATCAGTATAATGACAGAATTGGCTGTAACAAGACTTACTTGAGAGTTGTTGATCTATCTGGCACATTGTTTGTCACTGGAGAGGTGTTTTCATATACCCTGTAACACACAAAAAGAGATAAATAAACATGTAGCACAAAATATCACAACTATGCTGTGATACGTGGGGGAAATTACTCAAAGAATGATAACAAACAGTAAACATGTTTCAATATGTTGGTGCAAGTTTCAGTAAAAGGTAAATTATAGTAGAAATACAACAAAAACATCCTGCATTGCATACAGCAAAGATGTATTTGTGTAAATGTCAAAGTAAGTTTTACATATGTATACTGTATGATTGGTAAAAAGACAACATAGATTGGTTGAAGTTGCAAAATCCAAGTACCTTTTCTTCTCAACATACTGGTTTCTATTGTTAGTGAAACCCTCCACAATGGGTGTGTTTTTCATGAACAGCATTTTGCTCTGCAGTGGTATTTCCTTGGCCATGATTTCCTCATGCTGATCAAGAGGACTGTCTGGGAAGCAGCGGTTTCTCTGGATAACCCCCATGGCTTCCCAGTCCAGGGGGTAATCGGCAGGTGGGGATGGAGGGTTGGTAATCTCAGGCTCCAAATGGTGAAGTCTTTTAAACCCAAGATCTGAGCTGTCTTTTAGCTGATGAGACACATCTACCCGAGTACCTGCAACCCTCCATGTGTCTGGGACGGGAAGTGAAGCCGCAAAAAGGACCCTGAACTCCCTATCGAAGGATTCAACAGCTGGGCCGCTTAGAACAGTGACCAGCTGCCGGTGCAGGTGGGCGTCTGTCCATGTGAGGCTGGAGAGTGCAAAGACAGCGTGTTACAACACTCTCAAGTGTGTGTGTGATACATATAAGAGAAATGAGGTAACATAAAAGACTGTTCACCTGTAGCTGCCATGAATAACTGTCTCTAAATCCACCAGAAGGTACTTTTCTTTCATTTCCCCGACCACCGTTCTTCCCGTCCTTGAACAGAAGGTTTTCCCTCCAAGAACACGGACCCGCATGTTCTGCAAAATCACAAACTTAGGTCGAAACTCGAGACTGAAACACTGAAACTGGGTGTTTATCCATGACGGAATGTGATGAACCGGCATGTAATGTCCTGTGTCATACACAAGGTTTGTATTTATACAGGAGTCTGCAGCCATAGGAGCTTTAAGCTAAATGCTAACATCAGCATGCTAACATGCTTACAGTGACAGTGCAAACATGCTGATATCATTTTGTGTTTGAAGGTATACATTTGACCATGTTCACCATCTTATTTTAGCATGTTAGCATGCTAACATTTGGTAATTAGGACTTAACGGTTGTAGTACAGATGTGGCTGATGGGAATGCCATTAGTTTTGCAGGTATTTAGTCATAAACCAAAGTATTTGACCTGATGATGGTGCAAGATGAAATGTTACAAGTTGATCCTATTCATCCTGAGGGCGGCATGAATGTGTGCACAAAATTGACTGGCAATCAATTCAATAATGGTTGAAACATTTCACTAAAAAACACAAATGTCAACTTCATGGTGGTGCTAGAGGAAAACGTAGCAGACATCGTGGAGGAATTATGAATGTCTGGACCAAATTCTGTACCAATTCATCTTGTAGATGTTGAGATATTGCAATTAAGGGGTTTCTACGATATAAAATATGTCAGTAGATACCCTGGTGTAGTTTGTTTACAGCTGTTTTTACTTCTGGTGATGACTGCGTTCACGCTTAGAAAATCCTAAAATTGTTCATTTCTGAAGATAAAGTATCATGAACGTGTTTTCTACTGAATTCATTTTATTTTTATTTTCTGCAATAATACAAAATCAAATGGAAAAATCAGATTGGTATTTTGTCGAGGTAACCAGTGCGATGCTAATTCCGCGGTTGGCCTACAAAAATACGTCATCCCTGCAGCAATATACTGTATATACTATATAGACGGAGCGTTTTAATTTCTGTTCAGTCGTCGGTCAGTCGCTCATCACAACATCAGGTACAACATTTCATCACTGGAAAGAAACACAAGCATCAATGAATGCTGTGCAACCTGTTTAACTAGAAGGTGTTAAAAGCACATGTTACATTCCTAAGATAAGCATACCAAAGTAAAGGACACCTTTGAGATACTGCTCAAGAGTACAACATGTGCAGTGTATAAAGTTTTTAATAACTCTGACGCCTATATCGAGATGTAATCTTGTTAGAAAGAATCCCACAACATCATGTGTTGTTCTTCTAAATTGGTGGTATTTGGTTTTGGCTAAACAAAGTCTGTGGTTTATTCATTGCCATGTCAAACGAACACAGCAGACGGTTGCTATATAGGTGTGTGTTGATTGGTAGGAGGTGACTCACCGGATGCCTGAGCCTGTTGAGCGTGAAGTTCTCTTGAATGGACCTTTGGTTCAGGATAATGTAGACAGCGACACTCCGTGAAGCAGCATCGTGTAAATCGTCAATTATTGCCCCATCTGTCAATCTGTCTGTCACTATGGCGATAACCTGTGTAGTACAGAAAATATCACTTAGCCATGTAGTTGGCAGGATTATTCAGAACGTGGCTTACACAAAGACGAAATCTTCTTGTTTTTCTCTGAGGAAAATAGTCGTGTATTTACCTTGGTGTAGCAATGGAAGAAGTGATGAGGTTTTTACAGAAGTAAAACTGAGCAGGTAGACTATTACCAGCAAAAATGGAGTTAAGTAAAAACAGATTATGTCAGGTGGTTATCTTTTATCGATGTAATAACCATTAAGCAGAATTTTTATTTTGTAGCTGGTGCAGATTGCTTCATGTCTGAATACTCAATATACTATTGAGAGTTTAAACTGAAGCAGTGCTTTATATTTTTTAGTTTATTTATGATTTTCAAGTAAAATCTTAAACTCTCCAAATAAATAGTGGAGCAAAAAACTACAACATTTCTCTCTGAAATGTGGTGGTGTGAAAATATTAAGTGTCAAAAAACTTTGATAAGTAAATGACCAGTTCCTCTGGTTAGTACTGATGTGCTTCACCTCCACCCTTATGAAGAAATGTGTTGTGTTCATCCATAACAATAATATTTGCATACTTGGCGAGCCTTTTGCAAGTGCCATCTGATGATCTGTCTGACTGGAAGTCCTCCGTCAGCAGGGGGGCTGGTGTGGACTGTAACGCTTCCCTTTGGCACCCAGGGGCCTTTTTCAGGCCAGCCCAGGTCCAGGGCCGGGGCTGGTGTGTCTGAGTGGGAAGGGAAGTAGGTAGAACAGACGTCCTCCATCTCTGAGCCGCCTTCCTCTCCATTCTCCTGACTTTGCACCTGTGGCGGGTTAAAGCGGTAGTCCTGAGCCCAGCTGGTTATCTGGCTGACCTCCTCAGAAGACAAGAAGCAGTTGGAGCACTCTGTGCCGATGGAGCTGTAGAAGGCCTCTGGTCCTGCATTTAGGAGTCTCTCCACTGCTTGACGCTGCTTCTCACAGTGGATGAACTCCGGGGAGGACTCGTTCACCGGCAGGAACATTGCATTCTCATCAAGGCTCTGCTCTTGGGAGTTCGACATGACCGCAGCCTGGTGTGTCTCTGGGAATAAGTGATACCTGTCAAAGTTCCCACTACTGACTCCTGTTGTCTGACGACAAGACTAACACAGGCCGGCTCATATCACCCTTGTTTCTGGTTTAAGTGATTTCATTCATCCCTCTGGTAAAAAGTCACAATATGTCCAAGAGCTGCCCAGAACACATATGATATCCTGCTGTTGATGTTGCAGACAATTGTTTCGGCGAAAAAGTCTGTTCAGGGTTCACAAGTTCAGTCCTGAGCACATTTTATGCCCAGGTCTCCCACCTCATGTTGACATAAGAAGAAAAAAAATAGTTAAATAGATTTGATCGAAACAAAAATCTGTTTCAACACACAAAAAGCAACTTAACGAAAAACTCACCGGAGCAGCATGTCTCATCTCTCAGGCTCAAGTATGAGGCTTCTCAAAAGCTCTCAGGAGCTGTAGGTCTTCATTTGTTCCCTCCCCTGCATGTCATCTCACTATCTCAATTACCTTCCACTCCTTCTTGGCGACATTGTTCTCAGCTTACAGAAATTCTTTGCAGCTGACAGATCAGTTAGCTGCTTCTGACACAAACGTACGATCCTACCGTGCCTCTCTCTGATCTTCACAGCTGCAGTATTTCAAATAAATCATACTTGATATTCCAGGTCATACACTTCCTAAAGGTCTTTAGCGAATAAATTGCTATATCTAAATAGCTGCTATTTACCTGACAGTTTCCCTTTTGGACTCGTCCAGCCTGACAGGTTTGTTGAGTAACCCGTGGTAGATTATCTGACTGTGAGGTGCAATCACAGTAGTTTCTTTCTTTTTTTCCTTTGGAAATACCTTTGTGAAAAAAGAAAACGCCCAGAAGTACCGACCAGCCAGTTCGTTATCAGCTCATTGCTCTCTATTCTGTAGAAACCGGTGCAAGCATACTTTAATAAAGTACACAATCAGTGCCGCAACACGACGAGTGATCAAATGACAAAGAGGGCACACCCATTTTGCAACCATGATGTAGTATCAGAGGATTGCACTTGCACTGTGTTACACAGGAAGCACTTGCTACGAAACAAAACAGGTCTTTCACAGATTTAGTACCTTTTGAAACAGGAGTGCTCTTTAGTAAACTTTACGTCAACAATCAGTGTATTGTTTTTTATTATTGTAAGTAAACAGATATATACAGGTACAAAATACAACAGCAAAAACTCACAATCATACATGAAGCACAAGATGTGCATTCATTATTTTAATTTCTATCAAAATCCTTCATGTAACATTAATATGATCTTTGGATCTTACAGCATGACTGAGTTTTAGTTTTCTTGATCTTGAGTGACAACTATGTCTCTCAGACATAGATGATGATGACATAATTTCCCACAAACCATGCAGCACGGTAGAGTGGATATTAAGTCAAAAAGAATAGAGAATTTTAGCATTTAAAGAAGTATTTCCTTCTCACTCATCTCATTTGCTCAGGTGCAGTTTCTATAACTGGAAAGTGAGTGAAGAGCATCACACTCTTGTTGAGAGGTTTTCCATCCTTTATGGTTTTAGCTCACTGCTTCTTGCGCAGGTGGACGTAAAGGAGTCCACTGACCAGAAGGAGCGGCACACACAGCCACGCCAGGATGAAACAATAACCAAAGCGTCCTTGGCTCAGATCTCTGGATTCACTTAGAATCTCCTTTCTGTGGAAGGTGAAGATGAGGCAAGCAGAAAATGTTGTGAAACCTGCAAGAGTAAAAAAGTTTTGGTTAAAATTCTCTTATCTCATCACACAGTCATACATTTTCATGATATGTAAATATATTATTGAGGATGCCTACATAAATATGAAATAAAAATCTAAGTGCAATTACATTGTCACTGTCACAAAATGAACAGATTTAAATGTCCCTTAAAGAGTGAAAACATTCAGTGCTGTTGTTTTTTATTTTCATTGACAACATTTTATGTGGTTTAACGAATAAGACTTCACACACCTGCAAAAGCCTGACAGAGGCCTGTGAAGTAGAAGAGAGCTCCTTTGGACATGGTGAACAGCTGACCGAGGAAAACCAGGAAGGAGATGGAGGAGAAGACCACAGAGAGGACCATGAGGGCCTGGACAGACTGCAGCCAGTCTGAGAGAGTAGGTCAGAGAATGAGTGTTGGACACTGACTCACAAGCAAAACCACAAGCAACGCTATATGCATTCATGCAGAAATACACACAGACCAATATTTCTCAAATTTACCACTTTCATTGGTAGCCGCACACAACCAGGTGTTTGTGGCATTATCATGGAAACAGTTATACCAGAGGTCTGTGATTTCTAAATCATCCCATATCCACCAGGACTGCAGAAAAGAAATGACACAGAGCACAAAAACATCAGACAATATGCTACTGGATGTATTAGCATCATACAAGTGTTAACAGTGACATCTACTGTACAAAGAGAGAAAACACGAGCTAAGCCCAAAGTTTACATGTCTCTCACCTTCTCCAGGGTGGCGATGAGGAGCATGACCAAGGTGACCAAATGCATCATGGTTAGGGATATGAGCAGGAAGACCATGGCTGCTTGGAGATGAGGAAACAATCTGGGTTCCTGCATACAATTCATTTGTGTTAATATTGGTGGTTCCACATAGAACCAAAATAGCTCTGCAGTCAAAGAAACACTATCATGTCTGTGTTGTTTAAACATGGCCTGCAGACTTCTGAAGGCAAACAGTGGACTCTCTCTGTCTGTCTGCCCCTCACGGAAACTCTGAGCACTTTCATCAAGCATCTCGACATCTGCACTGACAATCTCTCACAAGCATGCCAGACAGAGAGAGAGAGGTGGGGGGTTCTCTCAGTCCAGTCTCTGAGCAATACATCAGGACATCAGCTCCTTGTGACCAAGCATGCAGTCTGAAGCCCTTTCTACAAACGGGCTGACATATCGCTGTGTACTTTTTATGAATCGCCATGATTACAAATGTTGTACCTAAAGGATGACTATCCTATGACTGTCATTACACTTCAGGTTCAATATGAAAAGCCTACAAACTTATTTCCTTTTATTAATATTTTCAAACACATTCCCCAACGATCCACACCAATGAAAGCTATTGAGAAAAGCCATTTACGTCACAAGGCTGAATAAGAGGGATGAGTGACTCATTCATTTGATTCACTTTTTTCTATGATTTTTGAGGACACAAGAAGGGGAAGTCACATTATTAGGAAAGACTTCTTCCGTTTTTGTTTCAGTTCCCCTAGATATTATAAATACACTTCAAAAATATAATATATAAAAACAGAATCTGTATTGTGCCCTACGTACATAGAGTACAATCTAAATATTATCCGAAAACATGAATTTGGTGTTTCTATCACATTATATGTGGCTTAAGTAGAAAGGGCATAATGAACAAACAAAAAAAAATTTTTCCAATCAAAATTTGAGTCTAAAATACAAAACCTGTGGGTTTCATACATTTGCTTCTGTGGCCAGAAAGAGAGCGAGAGCGAGAGCGAGAGCGAGAGAGAGAGAGAGAGCGAGAGAGAGAGCGAGAGCGAGAGCGAGAGCGAGAGCGAGAGAGAGAGAGAGAGAGAGAGCGCGCACGTTTGACAAATCATTGCATTTTCTTTCAAATACATGTGCCAAAATATAGACTTTTCCTTTTCCTAAAGTACCTTCCCTCCGCTATGCGGTACACTTATAGGAGTGGGTATTCTTTGCCTTGCACATGTTTGCCTTTCCAAACCCAGCTCTGTCCATAGAGGGAAACCTCTGTTGCCATTAGATTGTGGACATTTCAGAGAGGCGTGTGTTTGATTACATTCTACATCTGGTTTATGTAACAGTTTGAGGCAACTGGCACAGACAGAACGGAAGTAATGGACACAGAAATTGCATTCGCTGTGGAAGAACAGAAAGGCATTATTATCATTAATGTTCAAACAATATCATTAAGGAATCTTCTTGTTAGCATCTGATCATATTTGGGTGTGGCCTGCATCTCATTAGGCAATAGCTATACTAAGCTGTATGTGAAAATCCAGGAATATTGTGTCTGTTTAACATAACCAAGATGAAGTTCTCACCCTTGAGCTTCAGTGCCTTTCTGTCTATGCCCTTCAGTGATCGTCTTTGAGTTTCCTTTTCCCAGTTGTTGCTATCATCCCTCTGTGCTCTTTCTGTCCTCACAGCGTTTGAGAGAAGTGTACAGAAGAGGAATGTTGAGTCAGATTTAGGAGGAGTTCTCAACACCCATTTCCTCTAAAGTTTCCCTGCATGCCCTCCCCCTTAAATTCGTGGTCTGGACCAACTCCGCACCAAGAATAACATTTCTCCAGACCTGCATAAGTACAGAACATTTCCCCAAAAGCTGTACTACTGACGTCCAATCTGCATTAAAGTTTGGAAAAAAGTATGATGAGGTAATGTCTGCCTAGATCCATCAGTCAGACTCTAGCGAAGGACAACTAGAATCACACATTTGAAACACAATTGTCATAACTGTGACGGTGATGTGTGAGCTGGCAATTGTTACATCATGTATTATTAAAGCCACACAGAGCTGCACATGTACTCATACTATTCCGCCAGCTATGCAGCTTGCCATTAAGACCACAGCAGTATTTTCAGAGTGAGGTTATTGAAAGGCAGGAAGTAAGGGCGGGTTCGTGCCCACTTTTGACTGTAAATGTGCAGGAAATCTCAGACCACCCAAGACACAACACACAGTAATTAATCCTAAATGTAAAAGGAAGGGAATTTATCTCCCCAAAGAAACTCCCAGCTGGTAATGCTGTTTGTTCTTCATATTCATTGCAATTACAGATTTAGTGTAGTAGTAATATTTCTTGAATTAACCAATACGCTGTGATGGACCAAGTAGTCAGATCCTTTACTTTAGTAAAAGCAATACCACACTGTGACATTCCCCATTACAAAGAACAGTCAGCATTCAAAATGCTACTCAAGTAAATAAGTGCAATTAGTTAAAAGTATGTAAGAATAGCAGGAAAAAATGGCCACTGAGTGAAATACTATTATACATTTTATCATGGGGTATTATGAATGCTGCATAAATGAGTAAGCAGCATTTCATTGTTGCAGCCATCAAGGTGGTTCTTAAACATAATAATCAGTTATATATGCAGTATGTTGCGTAGTTTAATTTGTGACAATAAGGCATAATCACAAGTTTTGTATGTAAAATCTTCCTCTTTAAAGTAGTCTTTTTTTTAAATCTCAATTGCAGTGGAGTAGAAATACAATGTAGAAATGGAAATACTCAAGTTAAGTACCTCAAATTTAGAAAAGGACTTGACCAAAAGCATTACATTCCACCACTGCCGGTGGAGGTATCCCATAATTGTACTCACTAAGATTTATGAAACAGAGTCTTACACAAAGCAATGTTTTTCCTGAGGTTTACCAGTGCATTTAAACTATTCACAACGATAACGATCCCTCAAGACGCCTTCAATGACCCACGGAAAACCCACGATCACAGTGTTGTACTGTTACTAACAGAACGTCGCACCATCACTTATTCCCACCACAGACCTCGACACTTTACTGTACATTCCTTCAACATCTGCCCGCATCACGTGTCCACACTTGGTCTCGGGTTTTTAACGTGAAAGTATTCGAGTATTTAAGCCCAAAGTGTGCGGGAGTAACGTTTGCGTGAGTGCGTCACTGTTTGTTATGGACCGTTATTACCGTCGGACAACGGGGAGAGACTCGAACGTTTACGTCGCACGGGGAGCTCCGTGAGGGCTGATGTTCGGTGTGAAGAGTTTATGTCGGACTTTAAAAAACAAAACAAAAAACGACAATAATAATTAAGTGATTGTAAACGGTCGAACGTTGGATCAAAATGGATCAACCAGAGGTAACGTTGCCTAACGCATTCTACGTTGTCTTCGTATAGCGTCAGTTTATATCTAGCGAGCTAAAACCCAGTACAACTTTAACGATAGACTAACGTCAGAACGTTCGTCATGCAATCACACTAAAGCAACTTAGTCCACGCTGCAACGTTATCACGCAACCGTGTCGTCAGTTTGTTCCAGCTCCCTTGTTTACACGAAGTGAAGATTGTTATGCTGCTCCATTCCATCAAATGGAAATCCAAAAATGTCTTGTGCATCCTGTATCACATATTCTCCTATTCATTTTCCTCCTGATATAGTTTGCATCTTTACTATAATTTGTAATACAGATCTGCTGGTTTTCCTGAAAGTGTGGGTGCAGAGCATGATTACAATAACTGAGCTTGCAGGGGTTAACGTAAACACACAAAACAAAGTGGGGTCATTTATTGTTTTGTTTTATTATTCAGTTATTCCAAGTTTCAGACCACCACAGATAAACATGGAAGAGGCTGTTCATGGCAATGCCAGCTGTCTTCACAGAGAAAGAGAGACAGCTGTTCCCAAAATGTGCAAATAACTTCAGCCACAGCCAAGAGAAGTGTCACATGTCTCACTGTAGTTCAGAGTTGGGGAGCCTTCATTCATAAAGATTATTTTGAGAAGCCTTTTGTCATTTTGAGATGTAGGTTAACATGTAAGTATGATAAACACAGGGTTAACAATCACCTAATCGTATCCTAAAACATTGTTTAGCCTATGTATTTTAATCATACATATTATCATCTTCAGTTTCTCATTACTGTAAGTGAAGTTAAGTTGCAGGGTGGGATTAAAACAATGCATCTTTTAATAATGATATCGTGTCAACACAGTAAAATGACATAATGTCAACATCATTATAATGAGAGACTGGCGATGTAAATCAGTTTCTCCTCCAACAGTGCAGATAACAATGCAAGTAGTCCTTTCTAAGTATGAGATATGGTGGGTTGTCTGTGACCATGTCCACCACATGTCCCCCATACCATCCCTAAGGAGCTGGAGCAGATGGCCACATGGTTCAGCGAGGAGGGACTCGCTCCTGACTCCCCTAAGGAGGCTCAGCTGTGTTTGCTATGGAGTGCCCTCCAGCGCACAAGGAGCCGTCTTAACAGTGTGACATGGGACTTGGACACCCAGCGCTCACAACACTTAGCAGAGATGGCAGAGGTAAGTCATCACTGAATTACCAGTGACGTCACCATTTTGTCAAGAAGAGAAAGAATAGCTGAGCGTCTGTGTGTCGGCCTTCTGTCTCGCCTGTAAGGTACGCAAGTCCCTGGAGCAGATCCGAATCTTTACAGAGCACAAAGACGTTTTGACTCAGGAGATACAAGATGAAAACGATCAGCTCAAGGACCAGCTGGGACGCGTAATATCCCTTCAAGGTTGGACATTTCTACCTGTACACTACCTACAAATAACAATAATCCAACAGCAAGAGCAGTAGTGACATCATTAAAAGGTCTGGATTTGCATCTGCACTATGACAAAAATAGTCTCTTAAAATTGTTGTATTTTCTCCCAATAGCTTAATAGTATATATTTTGAGAATAACATGCAGGTATTTTGTCTCATACACTGAAGGCTCTCTTCTTATCTCTTTTTAATGTATCATTCGCAAGTTTTTTGTTTGGCAACACAAGCCATGTTAGCTGTCCCATCTTGTTGGACAATTTGATAAGACATGTCACACCTGTAGTTGGTGGAGTGGTTAACCAAATGTACATTTTCCAAACCAACTGTCATGGTGCGTGAAGATGGGGCAGCAAGGAATAAGACCCAAATGCAGACAATAGGGCAGACAGGAGCAGCTCAAGGTACATACGTTTACTGGCCTGGGTAGAAAGTCTTAACAGGTGTAACTGAGACAGGTAACAGGAAGGTGGCAGGGAAAAAAGGGTGCCGGCAGATAAGCAGAGTCTGGTTCGAGAGACATTTTGCAGGCTTCAAGGTCTGGAAATCAGCGGCACAACTCTGACAATCTGGTGGGGAATGAGTGGAAAAGGGCTGGTTATATACTGCAGGGCTGATAAGTGAAAGTGGAAAGAGGTGATCAGGTGACTGTGACATGTGGGAAAGTCAGAAGGCATCCAGTGGATGGATGGGGAATGGCAATGCAGGGGGAAGTGGGAATGTGGCAGACCCCCCAGTCCACATCCTCAGATACTAAAGCATTATATATATATCTTACTCTGTCGATATTCTCTGTTGTGATAGATTCCCAGATAAGCGAGGTGGCTAAGATGCTGTACCAGCAGGGTCTCACAGAGTTGATTCACAGCAACCCCAGTGAGCAGGTGGCCTACCTCCTGGTGGAGAGAGCCTCCCTGCTTGAGTCGAGTGAGGATCCTAACAATCTGACGGGTGATGGAAACACGGACAGCCTGCTGGGGACTGAAGCCCAGGCATTGAATAGCAATGCAAACCAGGTTAGAGGAAGATTTTTTTTGTCTTCTTCATTTAAAAGGGCATGCTGTACACATACCGGGCAAAGACTTACTCTGCGATCTAATGTTGTTCCACAGTCTTCCCACAAGGGGGCACCACGTCACGGCCAGAGCCCATGGAAGAGACTCTTTGGACTCCACAAAGCATCACAGAGCAAACACACTTTTATTCCTGTACGTCTGTTTATCTACAGTAATATTTCTGCATCCCATACTAACAAACACTAAAAACTGCACTCAGGTCAGTTGCAAAATCAGGGACAATAAGCCACAGTGACTTCAATTTGTGTATCCCAAAGTGCACGCTTGAATATGAGGATCTTTTTTGCATGTCTTCCATTAAAAACTTCTGTTCAGCAGCATCCACATTAACTGCAACCTTTTGTTTTTGTTCCAGTGTTATTAAGCTCTGTTACCAGCTCACGCTAGGGAACTTTGCATGGCAGAAGAAATTCAAGATACTACACCACTGATGCATCTTGATTCAGTGCACTTCTCAAGGTCTCTTGTCTGTTTTTACATGCATTTATGAACATTTCTTTTTTTTTTTATTAATTGGTTCTCTTCATTGTAGGGAAATCACTTCACTATTGCTCAGACGCTCTCTCCCGCTCTGTTTAGATTGAGGCCATGCATTTGGCTGGCCAGACAAGCAGCGTTGAGAGGGAATGTTCCCGTCTGGAGCGCGACCTGGAGGAGGGCTCCCGCCGGCTGGCCATGGCCCACAACGAGATCCGGCGTTTGACTGATGAGCTGGAGTCTGCTCATTTGACCCAAAGAGCTTATGGTGGGAGATATGTATCAGCTACTTAGAAGCAGACTGTGTTTTTTTCACCATGATAAAACACAGTCTGCTTCTAACTCGCTCATAAAGTTAAGTCAAGTTTCCCAACACTGCAAAACAAAACAAAACATCACAAACTTTCAGCATAATCCTATACTGTATATTACTAGCATTCAGAAGTTATTTTACCATCATACAATACCCAAACAGACTCTGAACTTAAACTGAAGTTACCACCAACTTCCACTGCTCTGAACTGAAGAGGAAACTGTGGCAGCAACTTTGAGTTTATTCTAACGTCTGTGCTTCTTAGAACCTGAGCTGCAGGCAGCACAGCAGGAGGTAGATGAACTCCGGCAGGAAGTACAAAAACTGAAGAGCTGTGGTAAGAATTATTTTTCATGTGTATTCTTTAGTCTGTTTCCAAAGAATTGCCAGATGTTACCGAGATTATATTGGGTGTAAAAGGCAGACAAGATACAAGCTACAATCCACCACACAGCTCAGATTAATCTATTTCGTATACTTACTCACACAGGCTGGAGATTATCCCAGCATGCACTGGGTGAGAGGCAAGGAGCACACTGGACATGTCACCAGTCTATTACACACGTAAACAAACACGGTCACACTCGTGTTCCCACCGCTAAGACAATTTACTCTTTCAATTTCACTCAACCTGCAGGGGCCAGATGTATAAAATATGTGTACGCACAAAACACATGCATACTCCTTTGCCCTACACATAAACTGATATTTATGTAGGACGTCAGTAGTTTAGTCTTTTTGTGGAAATCAGGCTTGTGCATGTGCGCCCAGCTCCACAGTGATTGAGATATACAGAGTCAGGCACACATACATATAGATCTGACGAAAAGGAAGCATATGCATATTTCTGTGTTTGCATGTTTACATGGTTTCCATTTTAGTTTTGAAGCTGCACCCTTTTTGAATCTGGCCCCACCTGGTCTTAAGGTTGTGGGAGGAAACCCACACATACAGAGGGTGAATGTGCAAACGCCACACAGAAATGCCAACCTGACTGAGCCCGCTCGCTGCCCTAGATCTGAGACTCACAATCGAGCAGCATTTCACAGCCAAGAATGCGTGATAACAGTGAAATTATTAACATGTGTTATTTATAATCAGATAAGTGCATCATCTGACTTTACTTCAAAAGAAATAGTGGAACTGCGAAAGGCCAAAGAGCTGAACGATCGCCTGGACCTTGAGATCAGAGCCTTGAGGAGCCGGGTACGCACCCTGGATGCTGAGAAAAGTTCTCTGCAGCAGATGGTAAGATAGATGCTGGAATAAGGTACTTTATCAGTAAACACTACATCAAGAATTGTATTTTCCACACTTTTTTGCAGGAAACACTTTCGACTTTCCGTAAGAGAATAAGCAAGCATTGATAGTTCTAGTAGGAACCACACACGTCACTCTCATTGATGCTCTCAGCTGGTAAGTCGTTATTAATTATAAGAGGGTGGAAGGTCCTAATTTTGCCCTCAGTTGTGCAGACTAAGGCAGTTATTTCACTCTACTTTATTTCAAACTGCGGGCCCGTATTAAAATTGGAGCTAAATCACACTTTTTGGAGAGAGTGTGTGTGTTCTGCGTGTTGTAAAGCTCGCTTACATCTAAACCTGAACAAAGTGCATAGTTAAGTACTGTTTCCCTTTTCTAAGGTACAATGTTCATGAGTCTAATTCTGGCAACATTGATGTCTCAACAGCCACAAACAGTTGTGCATTTGCCCTGTACGTTTGTGGGAATAATCTAGCGCTCTACAGATAATAACTAAGCCAATGGAGTGTTAGTGTTTACATTCACATTCATTCTGCTCGCTGAGACTTGTGTTTGTATAGCACAGCATCTATTCAATGTGTGTGGAGTAGAAATACAGATCAATGACCATTGACCATTGATGTGTACCAATTCTTTCCTGTTTGCTCAACCAACAGACAGCAACCATTGTACATTAATTGGCATTCATTTTGATAATTAAATCATCTTCTTTCAAGCAAAAATAACCAAATTTCACTGGCTCCAGCTTCTCAGCTGTGAAGATTTGTTGATTTTTTGACAATATAGTAAACTGAGCACATTTAGATAAAGATAACAGGCTTTGTAAATTACCAAAGAAATATTTTTTTAATTTAATCCAACAGTACCTCCCCAGCCCACTAGATGACGCTCTGAGGCCCACCAGTGGGTCCTGTGGTGGAGAACAGCTGTTATAGACTAAATGATTACTTGATTGGCTGAGAAAATTATCAGCAGATGATTCTGTAATGACAATGAGTTGCAGCCCTACTGTACTGTGTATGCGTTTGTCTCAGGTGGTGTCTCTGCAGGAGCAGCCGCAGCTCCGCACTAAGCAGGTTCAGGCCAACGGGGCCACAGAGCTGGCTGAAGTAAGCCTCACTGTGAAAACAAATATCTGTTTTAGATGTTCAAAAGCTACAGTATGCTCTGTTCAAAGTCAAGTGCTGATTGAAATCACATTTAGAGACACTTCTCTTTTTATTTTTTTTGTCAGCACAACACATATTTATTTGCATTAACCATTAAAAGTCTTTAAAATCCCTACACTCAGCCTCACTCACTTTCATATTTGTTCCCAGGTTTCTTCTCTGCAGAGGGAGGTGGAGCGGCTGGAGTCAGTCCTGCAGGAGCTGCAGCAGCAGACTGAACAGGTTCAGGCCAACAAATTAGTTCAAGTAAGTCCTACTACACAAAACCCTGAGCATTACATCTGACACTGAAACAGCTGCAGATCTTTATCATTATCACCCGTATCTGCCTTTAATTTAATGAAGAGATACCACTTTGATGTAGGAGACAGTACACAAACTGTAGTTGGTGTCTTATTTCTAGTAAATCACCAGTAGGACATCTTGTTCCTCAAAGGCCTTCAAAATGACTCACCTGTTACTTTGTGCATGTTTGTGTTGAAAAAGTACCTTCCTGTTTCTGTTATTTAGTCTCAAGCAGCAGAGGTAGTACAGAGCAACCAGACCTGCAAACATTTACAAGAGGAGCTCACTGCTCAGACAAGTAGCCTTTTGTCAAAAGAGGAAACTGAGTACACAGAAACATGATCTGAAAACAAACTAATGCAAATTATCATGGATTGTTTACACTGTATGGGTGTCAAACACAATTTTTTTACAACACACACATTGGAAGCTGTGTTGCCTGTAATGTAATCAAATGTCAGTCAAACCTGTACTACTTGAATCTGCGTAATGTTTCTCAGGTGGTGTCTCTGCAGAGGGAGGTGGAGCGGCTGGAGTCAGCCATGCAGGAGCAGCAGCTCCTCACTGTGCAGGATCAAGCCACCCTGGTTAATGAGTTAGCTACAGTATGTTTCACTGTACACATTCTTGAGCATTACATGATAAGATTGCTTTCACTGCTATCACCAACTCAAACAGACTACAACTGGATTTTGTGTAAAAAAAGGTTACTCAGTTTGGTTAATCTTCATGCTCATGGATCCCTGTGCAAAGAAGTTTAGCTGAACAGGCTTGAATTACTGACCTGGTCTTATTCTTGTCAAACACAGTGTCAACTCCATTGGTATTAACAAGTGTGACTCATGGAATGAAGTTGGAGTCAATACATGCGTGAATATTGATCGTGTTGTGTCTCCAGTCCCAGACAACCAAATTGATTCAGAGCAATGAGATCTGCAGCGACTTACAAAATAAACTCAGCGCTCAGTCGACATGCCTTTTGAAAGCAGAGTCAGAAGTGAGTGATACACAACATCAAAAGATTATTGATAATTACATTAAAGACAACCTTTTTTTTTTTTTCAAGAAATTGACTACAATGGCCTTTGTTCCTATTACATGATGTCAAAACCTCTTATCCTTTCAGGTGCATTCCCTCAAGCAGCAGCTGGATACCTCCCATTATGACCTGGATAACCTCATAGCTACCATCTATACCAAAGAAAACAATGTTCAGGATCAAAAGTAGGAGATTCTACCTCCACACACCATCCAGCAGCTGCTGTATGGGCACGCTAACTCTCAATGTTGCAGTAACACAGGGGTTACTGAAGGTTTGTGTGTGTGTGTGTTTGAAGGCTGTGGAAGGAAAACGGGCAACATTTTGAAAACGCTCACTGTCAGCTGAAAGATGATAAAGAGCGACAGACACAACTACAGCTGCTGCAGAACAACGAAAACACACTGCGTAAGGTAATTTGTTATATATTTGACTATATTGGAGAACTGGTAATTTATCAGGACTATATCTGGTTACGTATTGTAAGTTCCATTCATTGTGCGACTGTTGGCCAGTACTAAAGGGCAGAAACTGTTGCCAACCACTTAAAAAGCTAAAGAAAAGCTGTAAATTAATTTCAATGTGCCAGCTTGAGTTGCTAATTGATGACATGCATTGTACATGCACGTGCCGGTTAATTCCTATCCTTGCCGATGTCTGTATTTTGGACCACAGGAGTGTCCTGATTATCAAGAAGCAGTAAAGACTCTGTTGGCCACCCAAGAGGAGTGTGAGACACTCAAGAGGGAGATCTGTGAAACCCTTAAATGCCTCGACAAAGAGCGGAGGTAACTAAATAAAAAACACGATTCAAAGCTTGATGAAACTGTAATATTTTATTCATCCAATAATATTTGTACGTGTGAACGAACAACAAAGACTTTTCTTCAACCCGCAGAGGACATTGAAAACTTTGACACTGGTGACAACATATGACAATGTCCCTTCATAGTACAATATGATGATAATATATGTTGTATGGCTTTCTTTTGCCATGGTTAAATCGTGATTTAATATAATATATATAAGTAATGTGTTACTTTGGTCTATCTTCTTACAGTAAATACCATGAAGTGAAGGAAAAGCACAAGGCAAAACTGTGTCGAGCCAAACAGAAATGTGATGAGGAAACAACATGGCGTGATGAGAAGATAAAGAATCTAGAGCGGCAGCTATCCTTGTGTTCCCATTCATTGTCTAAGGTAAATCTAGAGCTTTGTCCTACTTCACACAAAAGAAACAAAAGTTTGAGATGGGGCACCTGGATTAATCAATCACTATTTGTTTTGTTTTTTCACATGATGGATTTAAATATCACAATGTATTCCCACCTGTGTTACCATAAGAGTGTTTGCTGTATGTCCATATATTGACTCAGTGACCACGGTAACAAGGCCATCATGGAATATGTTAAACGGTGGCAGCGCTGAAAGCCCGTAGGAGATGCTGAGTCATGGTGTAATTCCTGTATTGACTCACTCTACAGACCTTTAGAAACAAATGGCATTATATAAATCAGATGATTAATTGAGGGAAGTTCAAATTGTTTTTCTCCTCCAGGAAAAAGAGCTTACCATAAGTATTACTGTGGAAAATGAGAAACTACTTGTTGAGAGGAGGAGGCTACTACAACAGCTAAATGAGGAAGAGCACAACAAGAAAGACAGTAATCTAACAGCCTCTTTGTCCAAATGCAGGTACTTAACTCAAACAGCCAACACTTAGCTGTGTGATTCCAAAGAGTCCACACATTATGTTCAGAGGATTACTGCAGATTTACCAAATGTGTGATCATTGACAAAGAAGAGACGTTTGTATTGATCTCAAGGGTGGACTTTCTAGAGATGGAAAACAAGAAACTAGGAAACAAAATACTCCACATGTCCAATCAGCTAGCTGTCCTGGAACGCACCCTGCAAAACCTGCAATCACTCCACTTTACTGAGGTACGGGGCATAATAACCATAATAATAACATGTTATAATATGCTCACAGTGATAATGCTAACATGTCGGTTATTATTTAGCAGGTGTAATGTTGACCATGTTCACCAATTTAATTTAGCCTGTTAGCATGATTGTTTGTGTGTATATGTGATAGACCTTAAGTTCATTATTTAAGTTACAGAAAGGGTAGGACCGTATAAGTGTTACTTCTGTCCACTCCTTTTTGGGACATCAAATATTAATTTATTTATAATCAGCTGTATATGTTTACTGTTCATTTCATTAGTAATTCTTGAGTTTTTTTCTTGTTATTTGTAGCATGTTTAAAATAAATCTAACTTTTGGTATGTAGCACTAAACACAAAGTACAGCTTGGGCTGATAGGAATGATTGTTTTCAAGTTTGGTCGTAAACCAAAAGGATTGTAAACATTTTGACCAGATGAAAAGCCAACCAACATTGCCATGCAGCTAAAACAATAAATGGAGAGACAACTTTTCAATTCATGTTTTTTGTAATTTACAAAGCTAGTTATTTTACATCTAAATGCACTTGCATATATATATATATATATATATATATATATAAAGAACGTAGTAATTCAAACAAAGTATAATTTCAATGACTGGTTGTATTTGAATATCACCAAAGCCAATCACCACACATCATCAGCTAGAGACAAACATGTTTTGTCACCGTTACCTAACATTGCCTTGAATGAAGTGACACAAGATCACTTTTTTAAACATAAGCGTGATGTGGGAGACAAACATGCGCTGTTAAAAACGTGTGGTGAGGCAGTGATGGGTGAGGGTAAGCAGAGTATTTAGTTTGGTCATTCATGTTTTGTTTTTTTCCAAATAAATTTTTAGCAATCATAAGTGAGCCTTAAGTTACAAAGGGTTGAGAATCTCTGATTTACTGTATATTCTTTACTGTTGTCATTGTAAGACAACTTTTTTTATTATTATTATTATTGTTAGGAACTGAAGAAAACATCTGATTGTATGCAGGGCGCATTGGACAAAACTCGGAGAAAGCAGACAGATGTGACTTCCTCCCGTCACCGTTTCATCTCTGGGCCTCTTTCTCGATCAGCAGAGACGGGCTACCTGAATCTAACCTCCGCTCAGAGATACTCGGACCCCTCGACTCCCCCGGCTGCCCTCAGCAACTCAGAGAGTACGTGTTCCTAAGATTTACCGTCTATCTGCAACATGAATATACTGTACAGAAATAGTGATAAGTAAATAAATTAAGTTGATAAACCAAATAACAGAAGAATTTCCCTTTCTCTGTCTTTTCATTTGGTTTCATTTTTAAGTTGACAAAATTATTTAACTCTCCAGATCTGAGTGACAACAGCTCTCGTGTAAAAAATGTTGAATATTCTCATAAAATTGTATCCATTTCTTGTAACCGTTCAAAGTCTAGACTTCAAACTTTTCTAAAGGCCTGAAACCTGATCTGACTAACATTTACAATGCATGCATTTCATAAACAACAACCTACGCAGACCTACTCATCTTGCACTTTGTCTTCACAATCCTTTTTTGTTTTGCACAGCACTCTGGGGCCAGGGGCGTTTGAGAAACCACAGAACATACCGTAGCAGCTGTTCATTCTAAACTAAAACTTAAATGTACTTTTATTATGTTTATGTTAAAGCCCCAAAATGTCATTTTTGTTCCGATTGCAGTGGCTGGTTGCCCGTTGTATTTGTTGGCATTTAAACTACAAACAGTCATTTGTCCAGTTGGCCTCTTGGTTTGTCAAACACACCGAGACATCTGAATAGACAGATAAATCGGTTGGCTGTTACAGCTACTTGTCAGCAAAGCTTCACACTTTAACTCCATATCATGCACAAACAATAAAACATTTAATATAAATGTACACGATGTAATGCATAAGAATGGACCACATTATGGTCTTTTAAGTCCTCAAACCTATAGCCACAACTACCACTCCACAACTTGGACATTTTGTGTGGCCTAGTTATCGTATATTCAAATAAACAAAGGAAATTATATTAATTGTCGTTGCTTTACCAGAGTCTAATATGCAGCCAGGGCAACTTGTTGCACAAAGCAAAAGGAATTTTTTTTCCAATGCATTTTGATGAGGTCAGACCACCTGCAACAGGTCTGAAACTACTACATGACACAGTAACGTGTCCGTTGACAGATTACTATTAAATTGAAGAACTATACATGCATTTCTCCCTTAAAAAAAGAAACATCTCTGGGATAAGGTGCTTTGGGATAATATATTTCTCCTTACAAATGTTCATTTTATTACCACGTTTTTCAAGTAAACCTCCCAAAAAAAAAAAAGACTAATTTTCCAACAGAAAAGTACCTCATATAGCAGTAAATGTGTCCCAACCTGCCAAAAATGCCACTCATACGATACATCTGCTTAAAAAGTAGTTGTTTACCAGAGAGCACTGCACCAGTGTTTCCTATTAATTACCTAGACTGAGACGGCCCACCAAAGTCCATTCTTTTCTACTGCCAGTTTCATAATGAAAAAAAAAATATTTTTCCACTTCAACGGGTGGGCTGTTTGGCCCGTTTCAACAAGTATATTCAAGGTAGGCTTATATCATTGGATTACAATTACTGATGCATTAATGTCTTCATTTAAAATGTTGCAGCTTCTAAAAAGGTGGAGCTGCTTTAACTACTTTATATACTCAATAGGCTATATACAGTACTTGAGTAGCCTAAATGTACTTCGTTACATTCCACCCCTGCTAGAACAAGAGCACAAAGTTCTTCATAGATCTAGCTGCTAAATGTTGCTCTCAAAGTGCACCAGATTGATGCATCCAACTTCAAAAACATACAAAATCTTTTTTCCGGGGAAGCATGCCTCTACCCCCCTAGAGGGCCCACGGTCCACCCACCATATTCCCACACAATGTTTTGGGAAACACTGCTGCACACATCATTTGCAAGGTTGGCTTACAAGACACATTGCATTTGTACTTGGCATCCTACTCCAATAATATAAATGTGAAAAGAGGTCAGTGATTGACTAATAAAAAAAAAAAAATATATACATAAATTAACAAAAACTGGCAAAACCAGAGCAAAAAAAAAACAAAAAAAAAACAGACAGCTCGAAAGATTTGTCTATGCAATCAAATAAAATCCCTAGCTTCAACACAAACTTTACAGAGTTCAAAATGAAAAATAAATGGGGACAACCTGTCCCGTTATCTTAATACACTGAAGAGGTTTCTCGTTTCCTTCCATCTTTCTCAGAGACCGGTAAGACGATATGAAGCAGTCTGCATCCTGCCTGACAATTTGAGGGAAAAAAACCCCGCTTGACTGTTACTCATGCCACTGCAACTTCAGGGCCAATAAGTATCATTCATCAAAAAATGTGATTTGGGAAACAGGGGTAATTCACAAACTGATTAACACAAGTGATCAACTAGCACAGACCAACATTAATATGTAATCACTATAAATATATATTGACAATGAAGCAATGGCAGCATTTGCTTAGATTTACCGAGGCGGCAGCAGGCGTTCAGTGAAAGTAGTCGTCACTATTAGAAAATCCACACTTGCAGAAGTTGAACTAAATATAAAGAGCGAGGGAGCACGACAACCTGAGAGCGTATCGTTTGTTATATAGTTCTCACACCCTTTACTAAATATAGGAGTCAATTTTGCACATTACTTCAAAAAACCACTAAGGTGTGCGAAGTGCATCATAATATTTTGGTGCCCACAGCACTCTGGCGACTTTTATGTCACTCCTGTAGCCGATACTGGTGTCCCAGCAGTACTCTGGAGAGAGCACCCTGCTCGGCTTGTGAAGCCACATGTACTTGTTGAGATGGCTCTCGTCGTGCCACAGAGCCTCCACGTTATTCTGTTTATCCTCCATGATGCCCTGATAGCAGGCGTCAGCCAACGCTTTTACACTCTTCCATGAACCTCCAAAGACGGCAGCGTGGTAGTAAAAATCCCCAGTTTGCATGTACGCCTTAGACTTTTGGTTGTGGTCGTAGGTAAACAAACTCTTCGGAATGCGGTAGTAGTGGGCGTGGAGCAGAGCCACAGAATCTCCCAGAGCCTCCGAGCCAAATCTGCCATTGAACACCTGATCCACGTCGAAGCAAAAGACATGCGTGCAGCAGTGGCGAATATCCGACTCGATGACATCTGATATGGTTTTCATTCGCATCATAGAGATGTCCTGCCACCTGGATTTCTTCTCCACTTTGATGACCTTTATGCTTCGCTGAGGAGCGAGCTTGATGTCTGGCACCTTCTCCGGCACATCCGTAAAAATGTAATACGTCACGGGCAAACCCAACATAAAGTGATGCTCTGATGAGTTCAGGAAGGTCCCGAGGTAGGCATCCAGGTACCTTTGGTGGGAGGAGAGACAAGGACAACGGCATGTTCCAACAAACGAAATAGCAATTGGCAGACCAGGATTTATTCAGGTGTGATGACAGTTTATCCAAACAGTTGTTACAGAATTCATGCGGAAACAAACCTGCCGACAGCAAACACCGTTAGAGCCACAGAGGATCCTTCCGTCTTGTGCGCCTGGTCGTAAAGGTCAGGGTCAAACATTCCTTCCCAGATGATGGGAGCTTTCCAAGATGTACACGTTTGCACGTTAGGTCTGGACCTGAAATACAGGGCGAATTTTTATTCATTTTTTGTAGTTTGCAATATTATGATGAAAATAAATACATTGGCTTTAAAAATGTGTTTGGTGGGATCGCTGATTCTCTCATTTTATTACACACATTTCTCTATTCTGAATTCCCTTCTTCAAAAGTCTTCTTTACCAACATGCAGCTCAGCATAGCAGTTAATCTCACATGCAAAATCCACTAAAGCAACTGTTGTGGCAATTGATCATGTTGTTCTTTCAGTTATAACTTGCAGCGCTTAAAGCTGAACATAAGGCCACCCAAACTCACCAAACCAAAATAATAGATGTTATATCAAAAAGGTATTTTCATGTCTGGCTTCCTGTAGCCAAAACACTTCATACACAGCAACTATTGTACCAGAGCGCTGAAAATATCTCATGTCCCAACAAGAATGTTTAGACTGTGGTTACAATGAAAAGGAACACAAGGACAAAGAAAACTAACAAGCAGCAGCTTGTCTATTGACTTTCTGTTCCATTTTTTGCAAGGAAATCTCACATCTTTATAACATGGATTATGCCAGTTTCAAGAAGTCTGCGTCAGTATGATTTATTTTCCTAAAAGTAATTCCAGTAAAAACTATTTCACTCATTGGTTTCTTTAATTCCTTTTTCTAATTTTCTACATTTAAAAAAAATGTTCTTGCGTAATCACAAGTAAAACATGTATATTCTCGGCCTTCTGTGCAACTTTAGTTGTCAGAGTCCGGTGACCAAGTACATTTCACTCTGTAGCTCTTAATTTGCTGTAATAATTACCCTAGTTTGATTTATTCATATTAATAATTATATTGCATTCACATTGGGAAGGGTAACCTGATTTTTTTTTCCCGTACATCCTATCAACCACATCGGCCTTTTGTAAATCTAAAGTTTAAGGCTGCAGTTATTATACTATTGATCATTATGTCTTTAAAACGTCCCGACACCGAAGGTGACACAACCTCAAAACATTCAGTTTACTTTAGAATGGTAATAATTAACGGTTAATTCATTATCAAGATAGTTGCCTATTATGTTTCTGCCGATCTACTAATCAATTGATCTCATCTCTACAACATTTATTCATTCTTTCAATTATGTTTTCTGTGAGAAAACAGACACATTTGAATACTAAGGCTAAACACTGCTGTGCTTTAAAAACATCAAATATTGCAGAAATATAAACAATAAAAGTTCCTGCTGTGTTTTGTCACATTCATTTAATAGTTTTTTTTCAACCCCAAATTGTGAAAGTATGAAAAATAAAGGAAATAAAGGAAACACATATAACCCGTTTCTTATTTGCATCAGGAAGTAAAAAATAATTTGCCCTGAACTTCACATGGTTAGGATTGAGGAAATTTAAGAACACAATCAGTGATTAAACCGTTGGCTTCTCAACATGTCAAATGTGGTAATGTTGGTTTGACTTTTCTGAATTTGAATATTTTACAAAGGGACATCTTATTTCTAGTGCTTTCAGTGGTGAATAAACAGTGGATTCATGACCATCTGTGCAGCCAAAACATAAGGTTTTAATAGTCTTACCAAAGGTTGAGGCTGGTGTCCACACTGTTGTCAAGAACCAGCATCTTTGCACTTTCCAAAGAGCATTTGTCCATAGGTAGTAGGACTACTAAAAGTCTGATACCAAAAAGATAACCAAAGTTAAACAATGTTATGTTTGCATAACTGGTAAAGTATGTGGTGTTTTTTAAATTTAAATACAGACTCACCTCAACGATGGAGATATTATGTAGAGAAAACACAGCGTGATAGGAATGCAGAGCACACATTTCAAAACACCCTTCGTCTTCTGAACATGTCTACAGGAAAAAAAGCCACAGACTGATTAAACGCTGAATCACAATTCAGAAAATGCAAAACTGTGACACAATAACATTGATTACCCCATGGTTGAAAAACACTTCCAAGCTCAGTAGACAATGAACTCTCGTAAAAGAAAGTGAAGGCAGCAGGTTCATGGATGAGAGAAAGGAGAAGGGGCTGTTAAACCTTTTCAATATGATTATAGTACAAGCTCATTGGTTCAAATCAGCCAACCTACGTAGGGCTGCACTATCCTTTGACACGTTTTAATATTGGTTATGATACCAGAGTTTTGATCCCAAAATTATACTTCTTTCTATATCTATATATATATATATATATAT